GTGTGCCAGTGTTGCAGTGAGGCCTGTGTGTGTGACCTGTGACCCTGTGTACCTAGCCGTGATGCAGTGCTGTGTGTCTGTGTCTCAGCAGCCTACCCTGCCGCGTACGGACAGATCAGCCAAGCCTTCCCCCAGCCTCCTCCCCTCATCCCCCAGCAACAGAGAGAAGGTAAGACACAGACATCCCTGCCCTTACTTCTCACCCTGCCATGTTCAAGTGTGCAGCTGTGACACAGAACTCATGCAGAATGTGTGCATCACATTGCCAAGCACAAAACACAGTCAAGCCTCTAGAGAAGTAGTAACTAATACAGTACAGCCAAAATTCCCTCCCCAAGGGCAACCTGTCTCCTTAGATCACCAGGAGCTTCACACCAGTGCAGAAGGATTAAGTTGGATCTAACACTTGTCCTCGGCTCTAGTACAGAGGATGATTAAACCTGTTGGACTGTAAGGAGCTAGTAGCTTACACAAGACTCTAGGGCTGATATTTATACCTTCAGTGTGGAAGTTTTTCTGGAGAAATTCAACAATTAAACTATGTTTAGTGCGTGTGCTGCTTTTCATTTTAATTCAGCAAACAGTACCAACTGCCCTTTATGGCTCTTAAGTTTTAGATACATCTGGCTGGGAGTGTCAAAGAAACCACAGTAAGAAAGAGAGGATCTGTAAGTTATTCAATTCTCAAACAAATTAAGCATTAGTATAGATCATGCTGAAAAGGGAAGGGAAAAAACACAGCATGGACTAAACCTATTACTTGTTCCTTTGCAGACTGACGCATGCTGAACTATTAGTATATATCACCTAGTGTGCTAGATTGTTTTAGGTTTTCCCGAGCTATTTTGCCATTGGAGTTTAAAGTCTGTCCCACAATACTGTACTAAAGCTTTAATTTGATCAGTGAAAGGAGAGGTCAGGGGGAAGTTTTTCTGTGTTGCAAAGATCAGGTGTTGTTCTGCATAGCCCCCCCATGTGTACTTAGCGGACTAAACTATTAATCCCCTTCCTCTGGCTCCACGTTCCACCCACAAACCAGTTAGGGAGTAAAACAGTGACTTACGTAACAGTAACCAGACAATGCAAAAGAGTTATTTATTAAAGTGAGTGGAATCTCAAGTAGAATAAAAAATAGGATAATGCATTTTTAACAATCCTGAGATCTAAGAATACATTGATGGCAGCCTAAATTCTAACGTGACCGGAGACGCCTCTGCGCTGAAATCCACAGCTCTTTTTCTGTTCCTGAATTGTGGAGTTTGATGTTGCTTCTCGCAAAGTCTCCTTTTTCTGCTCAGTTTCTTCTTTCTTCCTTTCTTTTCTCCCTTTCACCTGTTTCTCTCCTTCCCTTTCCCTCTCTCTCTCCCTCCTGACCTTGTCGTTTTTCACCCACTCAAATTCTGAATCATTCCTCATTCTTCCCCCGCAACCTCCCTTCCCTACCCCTCCATTCCTCCTCTTTCCTGTTCCTCCCTCTCACTCCTTGGCATCTCCTGCCCTCAATTTGCCCTCTCCATCTCCATCCTGCACATCTCTGCTTCCCACTCTTCTCCCGGTTGTCCCATTCCCTCTCCCCCCCCCTGCCCCAGGCCCGGAGGGGTGTAACCTGTTTATCTACCACCTCCCTCAGGAGTTCGGGGACAGCGAGCTCATGCAGATGTTCCTGCCTTTCGGTAATGTCATCTCCTCGAAAGTGTTTGTGGATCGGGCGACAAACCAAAGTAAATGCTTTGGTGGGTAAAAAGATAAGACCTGTAAGATTATTTCAGGCTGGGGTTTTTCTTTTTTCTTCTTTCCTGGCATTCTTTTTTTTTTAAAATACACCGGCATAAGACACATTCATAGTAAGCGGCTCGAATGAACTCCGAGGTGGTGTATCACAGCAGCTTGGCCAAATGTAAAAAGAGGACGACAGAGAAGCTGGAACCAGGTGATTGACTGATTTTGCAGGATTGTTAGCAATTCTGTTTTCAAACCACTAGCTCAAATTCACCTTATTCTGCTGACTGGTTGCTGAGATATACCCCCTCATAACCAAATGTGTTCCAAACCACTTTCTATGAGGTGAATAGCAGTAAAGAGTGATTGAAGTGTCTTTGCACCTGTAACAGGATCCTAACAGAGTTCACAATGTGCATGAGGCAGAGGCTGACAGTTGTCTTCTTAATGCATCTCTTCTTCCAGTGCACTCCTGCTGTCCTAATGACCCTGCAGTGAATGGAAGGCAAAACTCACATCCTGCTTCTTTTGTTGCAGTAAATAATGTTTTCAGGATTGCAGAGAGAATTTCTGATGAAGACGGACAGTTTTTAGCAGACAGGTTAACCTATAAAAGCTTGATTCGTCTTCCCTGCCTTTTCTGGGCAAAGGGGTAGCTAGTATTCTCTCTCTGGATGCTCTGTCCTGTTGCTTGTGAGGGTGCTAACAGGGGAGCTGTTTCCTCTTTATAATGATGTGATGATCTCATGGACACATCAGAACAGGCATTCTCAGCTCTTGTTCTTAAGGGCAATAGTTAAGTACACAATAAGTGCACAGGAAAAGCTACAAATGGAAGGAGACCATAAGGCCAGTCTTACTTATTTGGCTTCTAGTAGTTAGTACAGTATATCTGTGAATCTCATTTAGCCATTTCTTAATTTCAGCTTCCCTACTTATGTCCCCTGGTCCTTGTTTCAGTCTTGATCCCAAAGCAGTCTATTAGGTTTCACAGATGCTTTCCGCTCGGTGTCATTTGTCTAATTAAGTGCTGAGGTAGAATAAAAACTAGAAGACACCTTTGAGGACCAGACCTGAGGACCTCTGCTTTATTTGGATCACTGTGCTCCGTCAGCTAGGCTGTTTCCTGGAAACAGAGGCTGGCAATGTGTTTCCAAGAGGTCCCTAATGAACAGAGCTGCTCAGTAATGTTTTCACCAGAGCCCCCGTCTGGAGTCTCAGGATGAACCCCACACCCTGCACTGAATCGGGGGGATGTCTCCTGGTGACTGACTAGTAGGCCTTAAAAAATAACAACAAAAAAAACAGTGGATTAAGCTCCGGAAAGTTGTCCTCAGGGTTACTTGTCTTGTCGCTTAACTCTCCTTATTCAAACTTAACCAGAGAAGCACAGCTATGCTTTTTAACTAAACTCTGAGCTGCTCTAAGAAAGAAACGTACAAGGACATGATCTCCCTAGTGCTGTTGTAAGAACATAAGAAAAGTAACCAGGAGGAGGCCCTTGAGCCCAGTGATTTTGTAATGTCAAAAAAATATGTCTCTTTTCTGTCTCTTAACCTCCTGGATATTGCACAGCTTCTGATTCAGAAGCTGTGCTGCAGTAAATGTAGCTATTTGTCACTGCTGGGGGCAGTATCGTACAGTATATTCCAATCTTGGCTGTGGATTTATGAAGCAGTCTTGGCTCCAACTAATATTACACCCAATGGCAACCAAGCACAACGCAAGCCAACTCAACAGACCAACCGTCACTTGTGATCAGATGGCGTGGCTGATGGGAGGAGAGATCTGCCTCGGATTTTCTTGCCTTTGGGGAGCTGAGGATCAGGGAGGGATGCCCTTGACTTCACCTCTGAGACAGATCCTCTTAAGCCTGAGTGTAAACGGCTGTCATCCCAGCCCTGAGTGGTTAAGCCTATTCGGCCCAAGAGGTACAATGACAGGCCTGAGAGCACGGGCACCTCTCTGCTAAGCAGGGCTCTGAGGAAGGATAAGCTGTCAGTTCTCTCTTCCCCTCTTAAGCCATATCACCTCAGCCCCAGGCCTGGGCTTTCTCCTCAAAGCCTTCTCAATTAGGAGAGGACCCGTTTCGCTTTCTTGGGGACTCACAGAGGTCGCTGCGCTGAGAAAGCTCCTACTAACTAAGCTGCAGATTAGAAAAAGTGTAAGCTTCATGTGCAAACACCTATGAAGGTATTTCAAACGTTTGGAGTACATTTTCCAAACTGTTGTTTTTAAGAATTATTATATGTATCAGAGTCTTCCTATTAGGGTCTGGCTCACTATAAGCCTGTATTGAGTGAAGCCTCTATTGAATTATTAAAAAATGGATGAACATGTATTAATATATTGAGCATCCAAAGACATTTATCACTTCTGCCGTGAATGGATGTTTTTTTTTTAAATAACCCATTCTGGATATGGATTAAATGATTTGGCATTGTTTTGATTAATTGAGAACTCATGACTGATACCTGACTGACAGTTGCATGAGCAATAGATCATATCATTAATGAAAGAGTTTATTGGGCACAAGTGATAAGCTGATTTAACCTATTGAAGCCTGGTGACAATCGAGAAAGAGAACTGGGATCACCTTTATCTTATCAAGACTTTTGTGCTATCGGGAAGTTGGTGGCTGGAAAGAGTCAACCTAGGTGGATTCACCAGCAGTGGAACCAGGTTTTCTTTAGTGATGAACCCAGATTTTGTGTAAACCACCCAGATGCATGTCTGCAGTGCACATGCTTGTCTGGGGTTTGTGAGAGGATTGGGACTGATTCCCACAAGTCACTGGCTATAGCCAGAAGCACACAGTCGCATTTGTCCTAAAGGCTCAGTTTGTATAGCTTCCACCAGTGGTCTCACACACACTATTAACCTGTGACATTTACTGTAGACCTTGTTGTTGGCAAATGTGAATGAGCAGATGAATTTGCCCGCCTCACTTTTGATCACTAAAAAGTAAGAGTGCAAACTGCAAAAAATACTTATTCTCCCTATGCTGATGATAATATTGAAAAAAAATCTGCTGAAGATGTTTCTTTGGAGGCTCGGTGTATACAGTCAAGTCGAGATGGTCGAGGCAGCAGAATGCCCGGGTCCGATCTAGAAGCTGAAGGAGCAGTAGAGAGATGGGCCAAGAGTAACACTGAGCTTCGTGGCAGAGGAGGAAAAGAATACAGTGGGAAAGAGGGAAAGAGATAGAGAGCTCCTCAGAGGAGGAAGAAATGGGGATCAGACCTGAAAGTGAGAAAAGTGAGTTTAGGATGAAGGGGGGTGCGTCTGGCAGTAAATGGTTGCAGTCAAAGGAAGCTGAGAGGGAAAAAGGAAAAAGAAAGAAACTCAAATTCGGTCTTTTATGAAATTTAGACAATTACTGTACAAAGACACCTAAAAAAAACATTTCTCCATACAGTAGATACATATCTCTGAATTTAACACACATGCTCTCAATGGCAGTGTTTCTCCTACAGTACCAGTACAGTAGGTGCAGCAATATTTTTATCCCGTATTTTAATTTGGCTAATATCTATAAATTTAAAATCATACTATTACAGGTGCACACTAGTAGACTACTGCAGTTTATGCTTGTATTTTACTTATTGTCCTTGGATACAGGAAGACACACTTGTCACTAAACATCTAACAAATCATAGGAAAGTTCAGAAATGAGAAGAGGCTCTTCTTAGCAGTATTGTAGTAGCTACCATAAAGGATCTCACCCAGCTGTTGCTTGAAAGATGCCAGGGTACCAACAACATGGTTTGATTATGCAGCTTGTTCCCTTTCCCTACAACCATCCACCCATTTTCAAATCACTGTATCTCGTCCAGGGTTGCGGGCGAACTAGAGCCTCTCACAGTGATGGACAAAGGGCAGGTCACACCCTGGACAGGATGCCAGTCCATTGCAGGGCACAAACAGACACAAACACACACTCACGCCAGGGCCTGCCTTTCTTTCAGAAGCCAGGTAACCTACCAGCATGTCTTGAGTGGGAACCAGAGCACCCGGAGGAGTCCCGTGTGAATACAGGCAGAACGTACAATCTTCACTCAGACAGCACCCCAGGGTCCCAGTGCTACAAAGCAGCAATACTCCCCACTGTGCCAGTGTGCCACAATGCCACTCTGTTCCCACAACCTCTTATGTAAAAAAAGTGCTTCCTGGTCTCCGTTTTAAATGTATTTGTACACAGCTTCATCTTGAGCCCTCTAATTTTTCTTTTTGATTCTGAAGACGTTTAATGGGTTGACTGTGGTTTTTATGTTGTATTAGAACTTGCAGGGAATCTGTCAAAACTGTTTGCGACTCAAATCTAAAATGTAACATCAACAATCCCTGAATGCTAAGTTCATCCTTAGACCCTTATCTGGCATCTAAAGGGTACTACAAAAGTATATTTATACATATTATTATATAAAATATATAATTATATTTTTATACAAATAACCTTGCTTTATTTTTGTATAGATTACTTTGGTAACTTTATTATTTCTGGACAGCTTTATTGCGGGACTGAAAGCAAGCAGGTAAAAGTAATATAGTATTTACTTATAAATAAAGGTGAAAATCGTTTGTTACACATAAACGAACCTAATATGCTTGTATCACAGCATCTCTGCTTTTAAATCATACATTGAAAAATAAATACACTGAATTTAAAACAGAAAACACACAGGGCAGATAATCCACCAGCAGTCAGCATGAGGAGAAGACAATGAGAGAGAAGCTTCAAGACTTTATACTTTCTTTTAAGCCAGTCGCTCTTTGGAGCAGTTAATTCAAACCTTCATGATTAAATTGCACTGAGCTGTCTTCCACAGCCTCTCCAGAGAGGCCATTGCTTAACTGGTAACATGAGGGGCTTTATACTGTCTCTCTCTGAACTGGAAGCAATTGCGCAATTAATTGACAAGCCTTGCACAGCACGTTTGGAATGAGAGAAGGAGAGCACCGATTGAAATGGGATCATACATAATATAAATATGATAAGTAATAAAGTTGGTAA